AACATTTTTGCCACAATAGAGTGCATTTATTACAATTGATGGGGAAATGTTGAAATATTGTTATTAACATACAAATGCATTGTTGATAATTAGTATAAGCTATTCTGTTGAGATATTATTATTAACTTAAGTCAGTAGTTTACATAAGGGTTCAGTCTGGGTTACATAGTCCTGTGGGTTTTGGCAAATGCTGGCTGTCATGTGCTCACAGTATCACACTGAGTTGTTCCACCACCACTCTAAAGATCCCTGGCCACTGGCTCATCCTCTTCCCAAGTTCCTGGCAGAATTCTTCTCACTGCCCTTCTCAGCTATTTTCCTTTCCCAGAATGCCATGGGAAATGGAATCATCCCAGATGTAGCCCTTTGAATCTGGTTTCTTTCACTAATCAGAATTCATCCAAGTTTCAGGAGTCACTAGTAACATATTGCTGGTGAACAGTAGTCCATTTTCTGTAATACCACAGTTTATTCTTCAGTGAATTATTTGCATCCAACTTTTGGCAATTATCAGTAAAACTTCCATAAGCATTTGCATGTACATTTTTATATACACTGAAGTTTTCTTGGGCAAATACTAACAGCTTGATTTCAGAATGCTATGGTGAGTATTTAAGTCTATAAAATTGCCTGTTTGCCCAAGTGTCTTGCATTCCTGGCAGTAGTGTCTTACAGTTCTGGTTTGCCAGCACTTGTTCTTTTTGTTTGTCTGTGTCACCTGTCCTCTTGGAGATGTAGTGGTGTCTCATTTTGGTTTTAGGTTGCATTTCCTTAATAACCAGTCCTGTTGTGACCAGAACATCTTGTCATGTGTGTTGGCCATATGCAGTCTTTGGTTTAGTGCCTGTTCACACTTTTGCCATTTTAAAAATTGGGATCTTTGTTTTCTCCTTAAGTATTGAGAATTTTTTTAAATGCGTATTTCTATTTTACTAGATAAAAGTACTGAGATAACTTGGGCTTGCTGTGATGCTGACTGCTGGGCCACTGGTGTGTCAAATACCATAATGGTTGTCTATGGTGGACAGTGGTGGAGCTCTCAGATTAAGATAGGCTTGGAATCAGAATCGGCATCCACTTCCTAAACAACATGCCTCTGGAAACTCTGTGAACATTAGAGAAATGACAATTGTTATAGAACAGGGTTCCGAACTTTTGTTTAGGGTTGCTATGAGTCGTGCTCAACAGGACGGCACTGAACAACAACAGATATAAGTTGTGAAAAGAGCAGATGAAACGTGGAGGTGGCTTAGTTTCATAAAAGGGAACTTTCCCCATCAATAATATCCATAGGAGCAAATGGCCAGCTGCTAGGGCAGGCACACCACCCTCCGTGCTTCTGCACTTATTTCCACCAATCATTGGGTTTGATATTTGCTGTTGACTCACAGACTTTACTCACAGTTGTTGTACAAAGAGTGGGGTTTTTTAGGGAAATAGGTTGGGAAGTGGGAGAGGCAAGAGATATCTCAAGTCCAGGTTTAGTCCAGCAGGTCCAAGCCAGATTAATAGTAAAACACAATTCCTTAATTAGTATAAGTCTTGGTATCAGTTCAGCAGCACAAATTCAATAAGCCTCTGGTGTCCTTAGTCATCCAGCAAGGTTTGCCTCAGCAGTTAGGTAGATCACCTTCTCCTTCAGTTATCTGGCAAGAAAAATCTTTAACTGTGGCCGGCACAAAGGCAAGAAGCCTCAGGTTACACTTTGCCAGTCCCTCCACAGAAATGCCACAGCCTTTCCACAATCTCTCCACCACATAGTCATTGAAGTCTTGCTCTCACCATGGTCTCACTCTCCAGTGTGGGAAACTCTCTCTCTCTTATTGTAGTCTCACAGATGTTGATGATTTGCAAGACCATGTGTCTGTAGTCAAGGCAGCTGGAGACCAGAGGGAGCTAATATAGTGGCTGTTGTTGTTGTCTAACCATAGAGGCAAAACTGACCCATAGCTGACCCTCCAGTGGGTTTTGAGCAGCAGTTAATCACACAGCAGGAGATTGTCCATCTTCTCCCATGAAGCAGCTAGCTGGTGGACTCAAACTGCCTGCCTTTGGAATCGCAGCACAGCTTCTTCCCACTAGGCCACTAGACAGAAAAGACCGTTTTTAAGCTAACAATGCACAAGTCTGTTTTCAAATATGTGCTTTGCACTAACTTTAATTCTCATTGTTATAAGCAAAACGTCTTCATTCTGATGTGTAGTCTTATCAACTTTTTTTTTCCTTTTCTGCACTGGGCTTTGGTTTGCTATCAGAGAATACTTTCCTAACCAAAAAACCTCACTAAAATGTTTCTCCTAGAAGTTCTAAGACTAGAGTAGACACTTATTTTTTTTTCCCCCTGTTTAAAAAAAATGAAAAGAACCAGATGGTAAATATATTTGACTTTGTGAGCTCAAGGCCCCTGGCAGGAGGGGGCGGGAAAGGAGGCGGACTGGGAAGCAGGGAGGAAGGGAAAGTGCTGTTACACTGGAGTAATTGCAACTAATGTCACAAAACAAAACGTATAAACTGTTGCATGAAAAACTAATTGGCTGTATAAACTTTTATCCAAACCACTCCTTTTTTAAATAAAGACCTCTGTTGCAACTACCTCCATCTTACTTTATACAAAAAAATAGCCGTAGACAATATGTAAACAAGTGAGTGTGCCAGTAAATTTTATTTATGAAATCAGGCGGTGGGCCATGTTTCACCCACAGGCTGTGGTTTGCTCACCCTTTCTTCAGAAGCTTTATTTATTTGTGTTGTTGTTGTGGGGTTTTTTTTGCCAGGCAGAGGGCACTTCATTTGGGGTGAGAACAGGGTCATCTCTATCCAGGTGATCTTCTCTGAAAACAAGGCTTGAGAGAAGTCAGCAGAATAGGTGCCTGGCTCTTAGGGGGAAAAGAGAGGTGGGCAGAAGGGAAAAGAGAACTGTTGAAATCCTTTTTGGACTGAACATCATTGTTTGATGCTGCCAAGTTGATTGCGACCCGCAGCAACCCTGTGAACGGTGGATCTGAACCTTACCCTATTCCACGCCATCCTCAGCATCTCAGACACACCTGAGCCCATTGAGTATCTGACAGTCCATCTCGTTAAAGGTCTTCCTCTCTTTTGGTGACTCGCTACATTTCCCAGCATGATGTCTCTTTCCAAGGACTAGTCTCTCTTAAAAACACACCCAGAGTCTGTGAGACTGAATGTCACCGCCCTTGCCTGGAAGCAGTGCCCTCCTTGCACTTTCTTTGAGACAAATATCAAAATGCAGCTTAATTTTTCAATGTTAACATTTCTGTTTTGGTTCAGACTATGGCAAATGAGTCGTTTGTTACTTGGAAAAATAACAGGTTACAATTGAGAGAATCAGAGAAGACCCCAGACCTAGTTGGTCAGGCAAGACAGCGTCTCTGATGCTTGACCTCCTGGCCTTACTTGGCTCTGCCTAGGCACATGTTAAATAGCTCTTAACTCTGCCAGTTATGTGTCCAGTGGCACACCTCCCTGCCAGTGCCCAAAAGCACTCAGTTCTAGCTCACTTAGCTCCCCAGCAAGCGCCCAAAAGCAGCCACATGGGTAATACTCAGCTTTCCACTCCATGATCCAGGAGCACCTCTATCTTCCTGGTTTCTTCCACCTCTCTGTCCGGCACCCTCTGACACCATCTCACCACTTCCTTTTACATCATCTCTGGTGTTGCGTTCTGGTCTTGGATCTCAGGTCCAAAGCACAGGCTACACCCTGAGAACCTCATTTTTCACCTCTGCAATGGCTCAGTTTAAGACTGGCAAGATGGCAAAACTGACCGGTCCCCCTCCCTTACCATGGTCCCAGCCAAAAGGTAACAATTTAACTCGTTTACATTATTAGCAAGTTATCCAGTCCCCTTGGAGGGTAAAAAAATACCTCACATTTGAACAGTCCTCCCCTGCCATTTCAAGCATGATGCCCCATTCCAAGGAATAGCCTCACCTAGCTATGTCCAAAGTATGAAAGATGAAGAGGCTTCATCACCCTTGCCTCCAGGGAGCACTCTTGCTGCACTATTTGCAAGACCTATCTCTTTGCTCTTGTGGTAGTTCATGGGATATTCAGTACTCTTCTCCAGGAGAGGAAGACCCCCTACAAAATGGATTGACACGATGACTGCACCTATGGGTTCTAGTGTGTCAGATGATGAGGAAGCACAGGGGGTTGGCTCTTCATAGGATCTCTGAGTTGTACTCAGCTCTGTGGCTCTTAACAACCACCACTCAGCCATTTGGTGAGCACTACACAGACCATGACTTGGAATAGACACATCAGATAATTCACTGCACTACGAGAGCACAGCAGTTCAAGCCAGGTGACAGCTCCTTCTGTGTGCCTGCAGTCACCATGAGTACTGGGCTGGGGACGGAGGTGAAGTTGACAGCTAGCAACAGTGAGGGGCGGGTGGGTGAATGGACCTCTTAGATTTGTAGGTGCACAGCACCAGAGGACGCCCAGGGAGAGCTGTGCTCTGAGAATAGGATTGATCCGGGTGCACTCAGCTACGCTGATCTAGACTTTTCTTTAAAACTTCACTGGTCTCGATGTTTGGTCAGTAAAGACTTCTGCAGACCTAACCTTACAGCAGTGAAGACCAAGTTCCTTGGACAGGCTGGAAAATCATAACCTTTTTCCTGCCTTCGTTGCTGTGTGTGTTGGAATCAGTGTGATGTTTACAGCCTGCTTATAGGGATTAGACATATCTGGAATTGGGGTGCAAAGGCCCAAGCCGTACCCATCAGGGTCCAGTTGAGTTCATAAGTGGACATGGAGAAGAGAGAAAGCAATAAGAAATATCTGGAAAGCTCTTAAGAGGCAATTTAGCTGTTTTATTGGAACTTTGGTGCTGAAATGGGCAGTAAACGTGTCTGTTGTTATGCAAAGAAAAGTACTATGTCCAGATGTAGCCATGGTTTTGCTTTATTGTATACTGCAGTGTGAACCGTTCAAATTTTTACTTGATTTTTTTTTTCTTTGCAGATTTTTTAAAAAATACCATGTCTAATGGTTATGAAGACCACATGGCCGAAGACTGCAGGGATGATATCGGGAGAACGAATTTAATTGTCAACTATCTCCCCCAGAACATGACCCAGGATGAGCTACGGAGTTTGTTTAGCAGTATTGGTGAAGTTGAGTCTGCAAAACTTATTCGAGACAAAGTGGCAGGTAAAGACCTGAGACATTCTGGTAAAAAAGGGGTATTTATTGGTGTCCATCCTGCTAAGGATCATACTCTGGGTATGTGATGTCAGCAGTCCTCAGTGAAGAATGGCTGCAGCCCTGAAATGATGGTGTTGGAGTCTCTTTTTCACCTCAAGTGCTGTTTGTCCATTGCCTTAATATAGGATTCGAGTCCCTGGGTAGTCAAGTGGCTGTTTACTGAAGGTCTGTAGTTTGAGTCCATCCAGAGGGTCTTCAGAAGAAAAATTTGGCAGTCCCCTAACTAAAAACCAGACACTGAAACCCCCATGGAGCCACAGTTCTACTCTCCCATGCATGGGGCTGCCATGAAGCCACATCAGCTTGACAGTAGCAGTTTAGTATGAGATTGAGCCTGGGATCCCAGAAGACGGGAAGTACAGTGTAAGACAGTGGTTGCAAAATAAGACAGAGAGAGGAGAGGAAGAATGAGGAGACCTCAGAAAGGGGGATTCCTCTGAAAGCTAGAGGGATTAACAGAGTACTCCAGAAAGATGAAGTGCTGGCACTTGCCTTGTCCCAGGATAACAACTACCACAAGTAGGTGACATTAAAGACCAGGATAAAAAGAGCAAGGGCCACCGGGGGATGGCCATATCTGACCTTTACCAGCTTCACAAAAGGAAAACTGTCCTGTCCACAGCATCAGCAACACAAAACCAATTCCCATGAGGTCAGACATGCCCCTCATACTCCTAGATCTCTTTCTACTCATCTCACCACCAATCTTACTACTTTGCTGTGGCCAAAATCCAGTGCAGTAGCTCACAGATCACACAACCATATTGAGGAAGTCAAAAAGTTATAATTTATAGTAATAATAGAACATCTCAAGATGTACTGCAGCCACCTCAGCCTTGAGCCTCTTGGCTTGGTGACCCCAAGTTCTCAGTCCTGCCAATATTGGCTTCCCACCCCAAGGTACCAACATAGTTCTTAGTCCTGTCAGTACTGGCTTCCCACCTCCAAGGTCCCATCTCACATGTGATCTCTAGTTCGACTGTACGTGTTGCTGCTGTAGGTTTAGCTGGAGTAGGAAGGGCGTCCTACATTGTCATGCTTTCTCTGCAGTGGGCAGAAGATCTGTCTCTCTCTCTGACTGACTTGCTCAGTTCACTGGAAAGACTGGCCAGTCCCCTTGTGGATAAGCTCACATGCACTATTTGCACAGTCCTGCCCATCTGCATAGCAAAGTCAAATAATGGCTAGAAAAGTCATAGTGAAAGATAAACTCCAAACCAGGCATGGATTTCCTCATAGTTCTGGAGGTTCAAAGTCCAAATCAGGGTCTTTCTATGCCAGTTATTTGCATGTGTGCAGCCCTGGGTGGCCCACAGTTCTTTGGATCTGTATATGGCATCTGTCTTCCCAGTTTCTTCTCCCATCTTTGTTCAGTCTTCTCATTTTGTGACTCAGAAGTGGTTAGGTTTAGAATCCACGCTACAGTGGTCATGGCCTCATTGCTTAAGGAAAACATTTCTAGATTAGACCTCCACCAGTATGTGGGAAGGACAAAATTCATTCCCTAATAGCCTGGTACCTGGCAAAGCCCTCATGGGGCACCTTCTTAGGAGAGTACATTTCCAGGACTAGAAACGGGCGAGAAGAGCAGGTGCTTGAAAGCATTTCCTCCTTTCTTTTCTCACATCTTCTTCTTCCTCCTTTTCTTCTTTGTTCTGCTTTGACAAGTCAGGGTATGAGTGGTCGTGGGGGCTGGGGGTGAGGTGGGGGTGGGGACACTAGCCCTAGCACTGATCTCCTACACAGAAAACTAATTAAAACATTTAAAACGTTTGAAAAATAGACTATATTGAACACTGTGTACTCACGGTCCTGCTTCATCAGCTTTCACCATTTCTCTAGTTAATGTGAACAGACCTGTCCTCCGGAGTAACACCTGTAGAAGCGTCCTGGCCAGTGGGCAGACCTACTGCCAGGCAGGGAATTAAGTGATCAAACGGGAGCACTGAACCCATGTGTTTTAAGTGTTCTCTTAGCCCTCGGATTCCGTGATACAACAAACCCACTACCGTCCAGTCCTTGCCAACTTCTGTCTACCCTACAGGACAAAGCAGAACTGCCCTCTCAGATCTCTGAAGCTGTGGATCTCTATGAGGACAGACTTTCTCCTTGTTCTCCTATGCTATCGCTGGTGGCTTTGAACTTCTGACCTTTGGATTCACAGACCAGGGTTTAACCCACAGCATCAGCAGCACTTCTTTTAAACAAACTTCTAAATAGGAACTTTTGACAGTACACAATTTAATAAATGCATTCTTTAGCTGTAATAGAATATTCTAGAAGCCACCATCTCTTTTACATGTTACAGGAGACCCTAGTTCAGAGGGCTCTTCAAATTCTCCCACACTTCTCACGTGTCTCTTCCTCTTTGTCTTTGGTGGGAGGGCATCCTCAGCCCCACTAATACCACTGGCATTAAAGTCCAGTCTTGCAAGTATTCTCACAGTGCCTGACTTCTTTGTTCATATGTTGTTTGTTATGATAGAGAAAAGAATGTGAGGTATGTTAATGAGCACAGCTCGGTGTGATGAGATCTGTAGGGAGCACTCTGAGGACTTAGCGGGAAGGAGTTGTGTTACCACCCCAAAGACAGGCAATTTGAATCCTACAACTGCTCCAAGAAAGAAACTCCTTCAAGGAAGAAAGATGGATTCTCCTGTGAACCTCTCGTGTGATTTACCACCTTTCTTAAAAACTGCTCGAGGTCAGCTATCTCAGTCCTGAGTAAACAACAATGAGCAAACGAGCAATCCAGAAGGAATTCGTTTTGAGATTGGTGCAAACAGCAAAAATGTCACTTGGAAATCAGTTCAAAAATTAAAACCCAACAAGCCCATTGCCCCTGAGCCAGCCCTGACTCAACGACGGCCTGTGTGTTAGAAGATAGACCAGCGCTACAGGATTTTCTTGCCTGTATCTTTACAGAACAGATTGCCTTCTTCACAGTGCCAGGAGTGTGTTTGAACCACCAACCCCTTTGTTAAAGTTGAGCTCTTAACAGTTGGCACCTTCAGCAGTTCTTTAAATAAAATAAACATTACTTTCTGCAGCACTTCCTACCTTAAAATTTTGGCATCCTGCCACCGTTGCGTGGAAATGCCTTCCCTGACCAACCTGGGGCATGAGCTTCCGTTTCACTGCCCTCTAGTCCTTCTGTCGGACCACTCCAGCATGACCCAGCTGTGGGGATGATTGGGCCAGTACCTCCTCCCAGACAGCGCTCACACTGCCTGTTCCACTACCAGCTCACATTCCAGCCAGCAGGCACCCAGCTCAGCTCCCCACAAATTAGCTGTTTCTCCACAATGCATTTCACCTTCCCAGGGCCCTTTCTACTTCATAGCAAAAATAGTAGCCATCTCCCCACCCCTAGACTGCTTCCTTCTCAGCCCTCCAAGAACTCCAGCTGTGGAGGCCCCATTCTTCCTGGGTGTCTCCAGGATCGTTTAGGCCTCCTGACACACCGTGTCTCTGACATCATTCCAGTAGTCCTTTCTGGATACACTGACTTCTTCTAGCTCAGCCTTTCTCTCCTAGGATGCTATTGACATGGCAGGCTGTTTTTATTTATATAAAATATATGAGACACGAATTTTGCCATTTTTAAGTGATTTTTACCTAAAATACCAATTCTGTTATATTAATTACATTCACAGTGCTGTTCCACCTTCACCAGTGTCAGCTCCCCAAACAGAAACTCTGCCCGTTAAGCACTGTATCCCCATTTCTCCTTACTGTCAGTACTACTCTGCTTTCTCTCTGCATTTGCTTATTCTGTTACTGAATGCAAGGGGTTCTTTCTGGAGTCAGTTGTCAATAAGACAAATGGATTGCAGTATCCAGAGCACTTTATTGCAGATCTGGGAGGACAGAGAGAATCTTCGCAAAGACTGCCACCTCCTCTAAGAGAGGTCGTCAGTTTTTATGCTTGAGTTAGGTGTTACAGGTCCTAGTAAACAAAGTTTGTGATATACTTTACCATGCCTGAGAAAGACATCTTCGAAGAGATAAGTACTAATTCCATTACATATAACTTGAGAAAAACATCTTCAAAGAGATAAATGCTGATTCAATTATATATAACTGTAAAAAACTTCTTCAGACAGATAAGTGCTATTCCAGAAAAGATGCATTTTCTTTCCTGGTAAACAGTTTAAAGCACTTTACGTAACTAAAGAAAGACAAATAGATTTCTAGGGCAAACGGCTAACTGGAAAAGATCCGTATTTGTTGCCAGTCCAAAGATAGATGACGCTAGAGTGTGAGTGTGGAAATTACCTCACAGTATCATTAATGTCACATGCAAGCAAGATTCTGTTGAAAATTGTCTAAAAACAACTGGAACAGCACATCAGCAGAGAATTGCCAGATGTAGGCTGGGTTTAGAAGAGGCCATGGTACTAGGGACATTATATAGCTAATGTTATATGGATCTTGGCTGAAAGCAGGGAGTACCAGAGGAACGTCTGGGTTTCATTGATTGCACAGACATTTGACAGTGTGGATCATAACAAACTATGGCTAACTCTGAGAAGAATGGGAATCCCAAAACACTTGATTGTACTTATGTGAAACCTGTACTTGGACTAGAGGCAGTTGTCAGAAAAGAGCAGGGAAACACTGCAGGGTTCAAAATAGGGAAGGATGTATGCCAGGGATATATCCTATCTCCATACCTTTTCAATCTGTATGCTGAACAGACCATCCAGGAGGCTGGGCTCTATGAGGAGGAATGTAGCATCAGGATTGGAGAAAGACTCATCAACAGCCTATGTTATGCAGATGACACAACCCTTCTTGCTGCAACTGAGAAGGACTTGGAGTGCTTGCTGCAGAAGGTCAAGGTCTGCAGCCTTCAATATGGATTGAATCTCAACATCAAGAAAACAAAAGATTCTCACCACTGGGCCAATTGGCAGCATCATAATAAATAGTGAATAGATTGA